TAACTTTTGTAAAAAATTTTAAATTTAAAGATGTTATTTTACTCTGTGTAAAAATATTAATACAGTTTTAAAATACTTTTGTAAGTTTATGAACGGTGTGTTCGAGTTCAACTTTATTTTGAAATAAAGTATTAACGATTTTTCTTTTCAAATTAATTTTAAAAATATTTTAAAACTTATTTAAAAAATGTATATGAAATTATGAGATTTAATTTATATATATATATATATATATATTTCTTTAAGCATAAAAAAGAAAATATTTATTCTAGAATTTAAAAGAATCTCCTTCCCCCTTTCTCTCTCTTGAAATTTCGCCCTAATTTCAACCGATTGTGGCCCTAGAAATCCCCAAATATTAAACCCTAATTTGATTAATGTCGGACCGAAGTGGCAGGCGGTTTCCAGAGAGATGTATGGAAACTTCTGCGCAATGCCCTAACGCTTACCACATCGGGGACGACGGTGGACATACAGAATATAAAACACCTTTTTAAAATTAAATTAAAAAAAAAAAAAGAAAACATGGGCTGGGCTTCTGGGTAATTTCCAAATTTGGGCCGGGCTTGAGTGCCTGTATTGGGCCGTTTATTTTTTGCTAATTCAGCCCATGTTTCCAAATGGGTTGGGCTCCGAGCAAGCGTCTGTATATTATAATAATATATATATATTTCGTGCTACTAGGTCCTCACACTTCGAAATAATCTGCAAGTTTGAGATCTTACCTTTGTTGTTGTCGTATTCTTTGCTCTCAGAAATCCGAGGAAAAATGGGCAGAAAATTCTTCGTCGGCGGCAACTGGAAATGTGTATGCTTTTCGTTTCCCTACTGTCTTAGATCTTACTCTTTCGTTTATACTTTTTTTCAATTTTTTGGTTGTTCGATTCATTTTGTCATCAGAACATTTATCAGATAATCAAATTTTTTTTGTACGCATGGATTTTCCCATTTGTTGGATTTGAGCAATACTCGTTGGTTTTGAACTGAGATCCACATTTCTCGCTTGGTTCTTCGATGTACTAATTGTGTTAACCCGTGACTTTTCTGATCCGAGTGTGCTGATTTTAATTTTGAATTCTCTGATTAGTTGAAATGTTGAGGAGGTCTAGATTTGGTAATGGAGGTTAGGGTTGCTGGCTTTTGGTTAGATGAATGGATATTGTTGTTGATTGAATAATTTTACAGAACGGAACAACCGAGGAGGTGAAGAAAATTGTCAGCATGTTGAATGATGCCCAAGTTCCATCGGGAGATGTTGTTGGTATGTTTAAAAATTGAGATCACTGGATGAACTTTGTGATACTTATAGTAACAGCGATTCATGCTTGAATAGAGGAAACTAAGGTCTATGCTTGTTATTATCTCCTCTGCAGATGTTGTTGTGAGTCCACCTTTTGTGTTTCTTCCCCTGGTTCAGAGTTCGTTGCGTTCCGATTTTCATGTTGCTGCTCAGAACTGTTGGGTTCGTAAGGGCGGTGCTTTTACTGGAGAAGTTAGGTAGGATTTAACAGATGATGGAATCTTATTGCGTTGAAATCTCTTGGCTAGTTGTAGTTATATCTATTCATTTATTGTAATTTTGCTTCTATACCTGCTTGAAATACTGGAATTGAATGCTTGATATTTTTCTTTCTATACTATCAAAAGAAATATGACATTTGATTGATTTGAAATTGGTGTATTTTTCTACAGTGCTGAGATGCTTGTCAATTTGGGAATTCCATGGGTGATTATTGGCCATTCTGAAAGAAGAAGTCTTCTGAATGAGTCCAGTGAGGTAACCCGACTATTACATAAATGAAAATTTGACAGGTTATGCATCCTTTATTTGTTTATTGCATCAATGATTTTGGTTTCAAGCTCTCTTTTCTCATACTTTTGAATGCAGTTTATTGGAGATAAAGTTGCATATGCCCTCTCTCAAGGCCTTAAAGTTATTGCTTGTGTTGGAGAGACTCTTGAGCAACGAGAGTCAGGATCAACATTGGAAGTTGTTTCTGCACAAACTAAAGCAATTGCAGGTACTTTCATCATGAAAGTAAACTTTAGTTTTACCCCTTTTGGACATTGTTCATCTTACGTTCTTCTGCATGTTTAGAATCTCTTGATGTTCTTTTCCCGGTTATCCCATATCATTAATAATTTACTTTTACTTGGCCTTGAACGAACTTCATTTTTCTTATGCTTAGTATATATCATATTATCCGTCCATCGTTCTTGTGCAAAATCGATGACCCTTCTGTTACATCGTAGATAAAATCCCCAGCTGGGACAATGTTGTTTTGGCTTATGAGCCAGTTTGGGCAATTGGAACAGGGAAAGTTGCAACCCCTGCTCAAGCTCAGGAAGTAAGTTTTGTTCATAGAGATCTGCAAATTTCACTTTAATTCAGGTCAATTAACCATAACATTATGGTTTCTTGTAAGGTCCATGCTGAATTGAGGAAATGGCTTCACAATAATGTTAGTGCTGAAGTTGCTGGATCAGTTAGAATTATATATGGAGGTAACCTTTCCGCCTCTATGAAAAAAATATTATGTATGCCTCATAACATGCTTTCCTATCTACTTCGCTGACCTGTGGAGCACTATTAGTACAAATAATACACAATGATCGTTTCCGATAGATTTTTTTTCCAAGTTAAGAACAAATTTTTTATTTCATCTATCATTTCTCCAATATTGAAGTGATAATCCGGTGAATAAGTGGAAACTATCCACTAGTAGTTTGATTATAATTATTCTCGAGACTTGAGAGAAAAAATTATCCACCTCAAAATATGAGATAAGTTTATCATTCCTCAACTCTGTCGGTAGATTTAAGTATTCGTTTTCGATTTGAGCTTGAAATATTCAGAATCCTTTCCAGACGCCATTGGAGGGGAATTTCTTTTAAGAACCAAATAAAACCTCCTCATGCATTGGAGGGAATTGTTTCATACGATGGAACAATAGATGGCATTTTTCTGTTCTGTGATTCGTGCTTGTCGACTTAGTCAGATTTGTTTGCGTATTCAGGTTCTGTAAACGGTGCAAACTGCAAAGAGTTGGCTGGACAGCCTGATTTGGACGGATTTTTGGTTGGTGGAGCTTCACTAAAGGTTGATATAACTTTTTCTTTCTTTGTTTGGTTTATGGTTACATCTTTGGTTGCTGACTTATCTTATGTTCCCTTACAACTAGCCCGAGTTCGTGGACATTATCAAGTCTGCAATGTGAAGAAAACCGCACGAACGTCTTAGTCAATGGCGAGACATAAATAATGGTTCTTTTGTTTTGTTAAACTAATTTGAGGTACTCAGTTATGTAAGAGAAGCCTTGTTTTCATGCTTTTGAATTAGTGAGTTTTGGCGTGGATACTGGGAAACTCATTCATAATATTCCAGTGCTTGTAATAATTTTTGATTTAGATCCCACTGTGGCGGACACAGATGAGAAATAAAGTTTAAAGTGTTTCGGAAAATAAAGAAGATTATGATCAATGCAATGCTTGTTTTCATTTTCAGAAAATTACTATTTGAGGGAGGGGTTGTTGGTAGATACCTGCTTCAACTGCTAGATCAATTCCTTTAGGTCAAACTTAGGATGTATGATTGGTTGGACATCTGCACTCCTATAGCTGGATGATGATCACTTGTTTTAATCTAGACTTTTTTTTTAATATAGCGAACAAGTTGACGGTGAGAAATATGGATTTCGCGGACAATGTTCGCGTATACTCGAGTCTCGAGTTACATTTGTGAAAAATGTTCTAGAAAACATGAACGAGGATAAACATTTTTGTGTTATATGGTTATAAGCAAAGAAAGAAACACCACGACTTAAATAACATATAACAAAGTTGTTGCATCATACATTTTGGGGCATTTTAGCCGTGATGGGTTTAGACATAATTTTTGTGACCGGTCATATACTCCGTGTTAACACAACATAAAATAGTAAAAACTTATCTAAGATAAAAGATCTCAAAGATTTACTTATCTAAGATAAAAGCATCTCAAAGATTTAGAATGGGTACATGGCTATGGACAACACGTCTTAAACAAGTGTGACCGAGACATTTGATATGTAGCCATAGGTAACACGCATTAGACAAACATGACCATGACACCATGCATGCCCTGCCCTCAACTCACAGTTTCTTTCTCGAATCTTAAGAAACCTAAAGGGTTCTCCCATAAATACTCTTCAAATTTGAGAAGGTAAATTGTTTTTCCTTCTCTAAACTCTTGCTACACCAAACATAGCCATCCGAGCGTATGCGACAAACACCACCTTCTTCAAATCACGTTCTTCCCTCAACAACTTTTATTACGAGCGTTACCAATAACACCTATTTTGTCTTATATTTGGATATAATCACGACACTATTAAAAAATAATAATCATGTGGACATGGTATAAAAAAAATATACATATTTGCTTTAGTACTGATTACACCAGGAAATGGAACGGTAATACAGCTTCCTTAATTACATATACAAATTAATTAGCTCTAATTCCAATTGATATTTACTAATATTCTGGAAAACTAGATTATGGACAAAAATGAAGGCATAGAATGTTATTATTAATTACCCGGTGAGGAATTCTATAAAATAAATTATATTTGGTAAGCAAGAAAATAATATTGTATTTTTCTAATATTTGTTTACTAACAAATTTTAAACAATAAGTCAAAACATTATATAATATATATTTATAAATTATTGTAGAATTAAATATTAATGTATTATTTTCAACGGCTAATTTTACACTCGCTTAAAAATTGGCATTTATTTTAAAAAAAAATTCCTTCAATTAAATGATAATAAAGCTGATTTCATCAGTCACGCTGAAATTTTAAATTTAAATCTTAAAAAATAAAATAAAAAATTGTGGCCACTGGCATCCGTCCGATCTACGGGGAAATGGAAAAATAAATAAATAAATAAGTTAATAAATAAATAAAAGGCATTAAATAAAATCGTTATTGTTAAAGTCGTGGTTTTTTGTGATCCTTGAAGCGCCCGTGGTTTTTTTTTTCTTTTGTTTTTTTGTTTTTTTTGCGAGCCGCTCCTTTCTTCAAATATCTGTGATTCTGCGTTTCTGCTTTTCGCTGTGATCGGATTTCTGGTTCTGGAATTCTCAGGAAGAGAAAATGGCAAGGAAATTCTTCGTCGGAGGCAACTGGAAATGCGTATGTTTCTTATTTGATTTCTTCTTGGTTTGTTTTAACTCTATTTTGTCTCTGTATTATTGATGTTCGGCTCCTTGTTTGATTTGATTGTTACCGTATGTTCTATTAGATCTTAAATCTGTTGTTTGTTTGTTATTTCAAGCTATTTGGTTTAAATGTTTTTGGATTTTGATTTTGATCTGATGAACTTATGTAAAACACGCATTTCTCTACTGGTTTCTCGATGTACTGACGACTTTTTGGATCCTGTGACTTTTCCGATCTGAGTGTGGTAAATATAATTGATGTGTTTATGCATTGAACTTTGGAGTTGGAGATTTGGAGTACTGGATTGTGTTTGATTGAACTAATAATCTTGTTGATTTAATGAAAAATTTCACAGAATGGAACGACCGAGGAGGTGAAGAAAATTGTCGGCACGTTGAATGAAGCCGAAATTCCTTCTGAAGATGTTGTGGGTATGGATGTAAAACTTGTTTAGTTTTCAGATTTATGACTGTCGATGTGTCTTGCAATATGGTTTACGAAGATCTTTCCAGTGATTGATTAGGTCTGTAAATGTTGTTATCCTGTGCAGAAGTTGTTGTGAGTCCACCTTTTGTGTTTCTTTCGCTGGTGAAGAATCTGTTGAGGTCTGAGATTCAAGTTGCAGCACAGAACTGTTGGGTTCGCAAGGGTGGTGCTTTTACTGGAGAAGTTAGGTATGATTTTACCTTGTGCGTTCTTCATATTGCACAGGAATATGTCTGGCTGGGCTTGTTGCTAATATCTCCATTCATTTTTCGTAACTTCTTTGTCCAATTTTTGAAATTAGTACCAAAAGTGACTGATGCAATGCTTTCCAAAATTGGAAATGTTTGAACCTTTTTAAGAACAATTACTGAATCTTGTTTGAAGAATGATGAAGTTTGAAGCTGGGCACTTTTCTGTTTATTCTACAGATTGGTTAATTTTTATGACTTCAGTTCATGCATGTTTTTCTAGGCTTTTTAATTTTTTTTTATAGGAATGAATATTTCTTTAAACTCTTACACGATAACAGTGCGCCATGCAACTAAGTTGATATCTTTTCCCTTGCAGTGCTGAGATGCTTGTCAATTTGGCAATTCCCTGGGTTATTATTGGGCATTCTGAAAGAAGGCTTATTTTGAACGAGTCCAATGAGGTAATCCCCGCTAGAATGGAGACTAGTGGCCACACCCCTATCTTTATTTTGTTAACATTCTGTGGAAATAGATTAGTTCAACTCATAAAATATGTTGATTCTAAGACCATTCCCCCTTCATTTTTTAATACAGTTTGTAGGAGACAAAGTTGCATATGCACTTTCTCAAGGCATTAAGGTTATTGCCTGTGTCGGAGAGACTCTTGAGCAGCGAGAATCGGGAGCAACATTGGAAGTTGTTGCAGCACAAACTAAGGCAATTGCAGGTACTTCTACTTTCTTAGCTCTGAAATTGAAAGCTAATGTTTGATCGGGTTGGTGAGACTTCCCAGAACGTTGAGTTTTTGATCTTATGCTCATGCTGAGAAGCTTTCAATATTTTTTTCGATTGATCCTGTACAAAATGGATGACACTGGTTGTTACGGTGCAGAGAAAATCTCTAACTGGGACAATGTTGTCTTGGCTTATGAGCCAGTTTGGGCTATTGGAACAGGGAAAGTTGCAAGCCCTGCTCAGGCTCAGGAAGTAAGCTTTCTTCTTAAACATTTATAAGTTTCAGTTAGATTCAGGTCAATTAACAATTAAGATTGTGATTTTTCCAAAGGTCCATCATGAATTGAGGAAATGGTTTAGCGACAATGTTAGTGCTGATGTTGCTGGATCAATTAGAATCATATATGGAGGTATCCCCTTTGCTCCTGTCAGATTGTCCTGTTGACATGCATGCTGTATTACATTCATTCCAATACTTGGTTGATGCTGTTTATTTCTGATTGAGCTCGAACTCTCAGAATTAACATATATTCACCCTGTGTGCTTGTATGATGCACATATGCCTTGTTAGGTCATGTAACTGTGGAACTTACTTGTTTGCATCATTAACTTGTCTTTTAGGTTCTGTAAATGGTGCAAACTGCAAAGAATTAGCAGCACAACCTGATTTGGATGGATTTTTGGTTGGAGGAGCTTCACTAAAGGTTGATATCCTTTTTAGTTCATTATCTATTATCTATTTTTTTTCTTGTTTGGTGTCGTGTTCTTCAACTTCGGTTGCTGACTCGTCTTTATGTTTTCTTGAACTAGCCCGAGTTTGTTGACATTATCAAGTCAGCTACAGTCAAGAAATGAAGGACTTGATGAGGAGTCATTGGATGAGACAGGTCTGTCTCCTTTAATGTCGTTGCGGAAATCCTTGTTTTCTTGAGCAATAAAGTTGAGACTCAATGCTGTTGTATGATCATAGTTTTGTTCTCCCCTTTCTGATGCATTTTGACATAAATTTGGCACTTTGAGGTCAAAATACTATGTTTATGATTGGATATTGAGGTGTCATCTCGATTCTGATTCAGACAGAACACAGAATATATTGATATGTGCGTTCAGATTTCTAATTGCTGATTCCTATTTCAAATTCGGAAATCTACCTTCATACTTGTTTTATAATGATTTTGATGTGGAACATCTTTCTTAGAGGCTTCAAATGCCATTTTGGACTATGATTAGGAGTTGGAATATATTGAAGCTATGAAATGGCCTAGATTTGATGGATTTCTTCCCAGCCCTCTCTACTGTCTCTCTGCTCTTCATCTCTACTGCTCATCCAAGTGAACCCCTTGCTTCCGTAGCCGCCCATTCTCCGTTGTTACTCCGATCGCCACCTTGTTCTTATTCGCCACTTTGTTCTCCACCCCTTTTGAAAGACTAGACAAGCTACTTTTAGTTATGAGCCTCTTTTCTTTCTGCTTAACTCCTTGAAAACAACGTTCGACTTGCTTGCCTAGATCCCACCCAGACCTATCAGCTAGCTATTTGAACAGGGTAAACCTAATGACTAACACCTACTTTAAGAAGTTGATTATCTCCCGAAATAGACCATGCACCAAAATAGAATGACCTAACAATAAAGTCTAGTCAGACTTTTCCTTTCTTTCTCTCCCCAAAACACATCTCATCACCTAGGCCACCATGAAGGCGGCTCGAAGGTTTTGGGTAATTTTTCGATCATTACTACCAAGTACAGGCAATGGATATGTCTTATGAAGTGCTGGGAATGATCGATTCTCAGGAACTAAAAATGACGTTTTTTTTTTTTGTAAAATTAGAATTAAATCAAATACTAATTTTGAACCTCAAGAATCAAAAATATATTTTACCCATAGTTTTAATATGGCAGGAGAAAAGACTCATTTTCTTAGATTTTTTTAAAATTAAATTTCTTCGAAATTTAAATGAGAATGTCTTACTAAGAATTTGAGTTGGGTTCCATGTGAAAAATTATTCTTCCATTATAATTTTATTTCCTATTTTAATTATAAATAATCCTTTATAATTCCCTTTTCAATTAAAAAAATCCTTTGGAAAACAAAACAATTTTAATAAAATTTTAAATTAAGAATTTATTATTATTTTAAATTAACATATTTATAGATTTTCAAAAGGAAAAGAGGAAAAAAAGTGCTAAATTTCAAATAATATACCAAATTTATTTTAATTATTAGTTTTGATTTTAAGATAATTTTTTAAAAAGGAATCCCAGCGCCTATATTCATGCAATTTTAATTTTAGAGGTTGACTAATATATTATTAAGAAAGTATTCCATCATTACGACAATTAATTAAAAAATCCTTTATTATTAATAATTAATAATTAATTTATGGCACGTCATTTAAAGAATATTCAGTTTCCTGAGGTCACTTTCGTCACTCGTTACGTTAATCATACAATATTAAATTAATAAGCTTCATAAACTATATAATAAAACCTAAATTCATTACCAAAAATAATAATAATAAAATTAAAAGAAAAAAAACCCTTAACCGTCATTCATTTCAAATCAATATATTTATTCACAAAAAAATGATTGGAGCCCCCAAAAAACTGTACGGACAAATTAATGGCGTAAATTTGTCTTCAAGTCATCAATTCACCACCGCCATTTGACCTTTGTCTTCCAGCTGCTCTTTCTCGCCGGCGAGAGGGCGTTTGAGCCGCCGACACAGTGCCGGTCTCTTCAATTCTTTATTCATCTGCTCTGCTCCATTAAAATGGGGGGTTTTCGGCCACTTGATTGGGATACACGTGTGGCCCATTGCTCGAAAACGAGCTCCAATGATCGAGGCGTTCCTGCGTGTTCAATCCAAACGATTGAAAAGTCAAAAAGAGGAATGGTTATCTAATCCCTTACTCTGCCAAATTTTTGTTTGCTCGCGTGTTGATTACTCGGTGCCGATTTGTCGCCAGCAATCTTGTTTTCTTTCCCCCATTTGTGATTCTTTGAAGAGGCCGAAATCGAACGTCTCTCAGTCTGCAATGGGAGCCTTTCGTGGGCTTATCCTCTTAGTGTGATGACAGAAAAGAGGGGACCAACATACTTGTCATTAATACGAACTTCCTGTCCGTCAGGGACTGTGCAACCCTTCTTCCCCATTTCTGTATTTTAGCCAATTGAAGTGGGAAAATTTAGCAGGAGCTTTTGGGCTTTGATTAATTCTATTGAATTCAGTCTTCTGTTGGTTTTCCTGCTAACGAAACAATTCTTGAAACGAGAATCTTAATTCTGATACACTGAAAGGTGGCTAGCTATTTGGGATTGTCTTGGTTGTTTTCTTTTTTTCTTTCTTTATATGGGTTTGCTGAGATTCTTCTTGGTTTCATTGGTAGAATATTGGTTTGAATCTTGTTCTCTTGTTCTTCCTCTTTTTGTTGATATCAGCTTGAAAGCTCTGAAAGTTGGAGAGTCCTTTGATTGCTTCTGATGGGCATCTGCTTGAGTACCAAACCTGTAGTAGAAATCGATGATGATGCAGGTATAAGAAGGCCCGTTTTCCTTCTTTATGAAGATATGGTGGAAGTTTTTAGACTCTGTTCATCATTTTGAAGTTTTTTGAGATTTATTATTGATCTAACTGAACCCTGTTCGCTTTCTCCAATGGAATAATGTCCTTTATATGAAGTCCTGTTGAGCACTTTGATATTTGATCATATAATGGGCACGAGTTCTTTCTTTGATTGAAATGAAGTAGTTGAGACATGTATTCATGTGCATTTATGAGGGTTTTGAGTCAAGTGAATGGCTATCGGTTCATTACTGGTCATGCATTTGTTTGTGAAGGGGTGAAGAATTGTAAAGCTGATAGTGATAGCAGTAATGGAATGGACAATGATAGTGCAAGTAGCAAAATCTCATTGGCTTCAGTACTGCCTGCCCCTCGGAGTGAGGTCGAAATCTGGCAATCCTCCCATTTGAAGAGCTTCTCTTTTGCAGAGCTCAGAGAGGCAACAAGGAACTTCTGTCCTGTTAATGTTCTGGGAGAACCTGCTTCTGGTTCAGTTTTCAAGGGCTGGATTGATGAGCATTCTTTAACTGCTACCAAGCCTGGAACGGGATTGGCTATTGCAGTCAAAAGGCTTAACCAAGATAGTTTTCGAGGTGATGAGTGGTTGGTGAGTTACCTCTTTGAGATGATTCGTTGTCGTACCAATTGTTTTCTTCGCCACATCGGTTTCCTTTAGCATCGATGAATTATCTTAATTTAACCGTCTGCTATGGTAGAATAGTTATTTGTTAAACAAATTTGTCATCTATGCTGCACAGATCCACTCATGTCATGCCTTCTTTTATAGGCTGAAGTGAATTTTCTAGGCCAACTTGTTCATTCTCACCTTGTGAAGTTGGTTGGCTATTGCGTGGAGGACGAGCAACAACTAGTTGTGTATGAATTCATGCCTCGAGGAAGTTTGGACAACCATCTGTTCCTTCGTGAGTTTTCCTTATCTTTCGATGCGACGCGTTAAGAACATTCAAAATATTCTGTGATTTGACACTCGAGTTGTCATTGCAGGCGGGTCCTATTTTCAACCGCTTTCTTGGGGCCTCCGCTTGAAGGTTGCACTTGGTGCTGCAAAAGGCCTCGCCTTTCTCCATAGTGATGAAAGAAAAGTGATCTACCGTGACTTAAGGACTTCAAATATTTTGCTTGATTCTGTGAGTCAATGGTGAAAATAAAAGCTTCCTTGTGCCTATGTTAAAAAGGGCATCATGGAACTGGGATCTAACTCCTAAAGTTAAATATTTACTTGTTCGAAAGATAGTCGTCGAGCCACTTGCTTCATTTTCTTTTATTTTCAGGACTACAATGCCAAACTCTATGATCTTGGATTTTCCAAAGGCACAGGAGCAACAGGCCGTAAAAGCAATGTCTCTACCAGGATTTCGTGCACCTCATATGCAGCTCCGGAGTATCTTGCTGCAGGTAATATTCAACACAACCAGAAAACATTTCTGTCAGATGTCAAGGATCCTTGATTCTGCTTTCTTTTTCCTGATAAATAGCATTTTTGTATCATTACTAGTCTGAGAGACTTAAGGCTACTACGTTATAACACGTCGAGTCAACTTAGTTTGTTGTATTCTTTCAACAGACGAAGGTTTATAGTATCTAACACTGACCACTCTGTCCTTACACTCACCGTAGGTCAGGCAACCACTTCGAGTGATGTTTATAGTTTTGGAGTCATTCTATTGGAAATGTTGTCTGGAAGGAGAGCAATGTACAAGAATCGAACATTTAGAGACCACAATCTCATCGAATGGGCGAAACCCTACCTTGCAAAGAAACGTAAGACTGCTCGAATAATCGATGACCGACTCGAAGGCCAATATTCATTGGATGCAGCCTATAAGTTATCTAGTCTGATATTGCAATGCCTGTCCGTTGAGCCCAAGTCTAGACCGAGTATGAATGAGGTTGTAAAAGAATTAGAACAGCTTCAAGACTCCATATCCACTAAGATCAATACAACACAAAACCGCATGGCTGGTAGGCATAGTGCTGATGATGCCAATACTCTTCCTAGTGCTCATGCCCAACCTTCGACTCCTGTTTCCCCTGTTTATTAGCAGATGCAGGTGATTGTTTACAACAGATCTTAGGAAAATGGCAGAAACATATTATGGTTGAATGATTATACTTCTCTTGCTATTACCATCTCTTCATCTCAGCAATACTTTGGTCAGTTTGTATACTGAAAGAATGGTTCATTTTAATTTTTTTGTTTGATTATCAAAGATACGATACTCGGGAAGAATCTGATTATATGTCTAAGTTTACACTCAGTTTACCTTTTGGCTTGAAGTTATGCAATTGCGAGCCTCATGTTGCTTCTGAAATGGAAGAGCATTCTCTTTCATGTATTTCTATGTTGTGTTATGTTGGTGCCATTTGAAATAAAAGAACGAAATTGTGAGCTACATTGAAATTGCTTGAAGCGGGTTTATGGGGGCATTTGATATGTTGGGGTTGGCATGAAAAGTCCGAGAATATGGGGTGCTGCCTGTTTGGTGTGTACATGAAATGAGTATTATGTCTGGCAATGAAGGATATAGTGTTATGTCCTTGGAATGTTTGATGGAAATCGAATCGAGAGAATTGAGAGAACACCGAAGGAAGAATTGGTTGTGTATGCCTTCAGGAGCTTGATGAGCGACGGCTTTCCTATTCGTCGAGGCGACATATGTCACTCCATCGATCGCCTAAGGAAGCTTGAGAGGAACAAGCGCACACTCGAGGTAGCTATCTTCATCTCCCTCTATAAACTCCCTTTTCGTTTCCAGTTTTCTTGGATGTCATGAATTCTAATCTGTATTACAGTAGAGTTGGCTGTACCGAGTAGTTCTTTTCGTATGTATTAAGGATGTAAACACGAGCAGGACACTGGAAAATAGTAATTCCAAGTAATTGCTTAAATCATATAGAAGCTGAAAAGTTGCACAAACAGTGAATTTGGATGCAATGTCTTCTTGATTAATCTGTTTCTTAGTGTAATATTATCTGCCTTTAAGTTTATTCTCTGTTTGTATTGATGAGTCACTGTGATGTTGCCATGTCAGGCCTGCTTCATAAGCAAGAATTGCCTTGTCCCTTGAGAATTGCGTGCAACTTCTAAATTAAGAACTTGCTTTAGTAGATAGTAGGACCCCTTTTGTTAACTTGGACAAGTCGCTAGAAAAAGCACGAGAAAGAAACGTATAATCAAGATTGTTCTCTGTTCTTGGCAGGTTCTGGAATGAGCGATGAGGGAGAGTTGCTCTTAAACAATCTTGTGATTGATTACATCTTTAGATAAGGGAGCAATAAGAGTGCCCTTACACATCTCTACATAAAACATTCTTATGAAAGTAGAAGCCAATGAACACAATATTGAAGGCTGATGAACATATTTGGTGGCATGAAACGAGCTAAAGTGGAACCAAATGAGGTGCCTTGCTGCACTGTAGTTGAAGCTTTTGCTGAGGCTATGGAAAAATCTACCACTGGAAATAGGCTCATTAAAAAGGCAACAGATACCTTTAAATGGGTGAACCAAACGCAATAATGGTTATGAAGCAAATAGGTTGACCCGAGCTTTTGCCCACTGAATCCAAAATTTGAACCGAACAGATTCGGTTCCGGAAAAATAACCCAGCCAACCCTTTTGATTCAGGTTGGGTTGGTCCGATTTTTTTTTATTTTTGGGTTCGATATACACCCCCTACCGTAACCTTTTGAATTCTGGCTTAGGTTGCTTGAAAGCTAGCTTGGTGGAAGACGCCATGAAAATACTAGAGATAGGATCAAATATAGCAATCAGCAGCAAGAGAGTTAGAAAGTCAACTCCATGGTTGGAAACCAGTCTTTCATTGATTGAAGTTTTGGCAGAGAGGCGATGTTGAAAATACTGAAAAGTTATTCAAAGAACTCAGGGAAGCAAAGTATACGAGTACACATTTGTACAATACTTTGATCAAGACTTAGGTGTGAGATCTCACATCGGTTGGAGAGGATAACGAAACATTCCTTATAAGGGTGTGGAAACCTCTCCCTAATAGATGCTTTTTAAAATCTTGAGGTTGACAGCAATACGTAACGGATTAAAACGGACAATATCTATTAGTGGTGGGCTTGGACTGTTACAAATGGTACCTGAGCTAGAAACCAAGCAGTATGTCAGTGAAGACGTTGGGCCCCCAAAGGGAGAGAGTGGATTATAAGATTTCACATCTGTTGAAGAGGAAACTGAAGCATTCCTTATAAAGAGTATGGAAACCTCTCCCTAGTGACGCGTTTTAAAATCGTGAGGTTGACAACAATACGTAACGGGCTAAGCGGATAATATCTGTTAACGGTGGATTTAGACTATTACATTAGGTGAAGGCCAAGATTCATAATCCGAGGATGATCATAGGATGATCCAAATCTTTCTGAGCTGTTTCAAAGTCAAAAGAGTTTGAACAGATCGTACCTAAGTTTTAATATTCAATGAGAAACGAGCCAAGTCAGCGACTCATGAATATTATCGATGATCCATCCTTTACCTCTGCTAGATTCTCATTACTCTGTCGGGCATCAGCAGTCTTCTCCCTAGCAGATAAGCCGTGGGTACCTCTTGGCCACTTGACTGACATGAATGCTTGACTTATCTGCAGCAATCAGGCCCACAAAATTTAGACTTCCCAAGTCCAAGAGTGAAGTCAAATCTCAAAAGTAAGCATCCATGTCCATATTTTGGAGTGTTTGGTTTCTGGATTTTGCAAACCCTGAGAAGAACAAAGGACAACCCATTTCACTCCACACAAAGCTTCTCTGTTTCCTTCTGCTGTAATTTTCAAATCATCACATCCTCAAAATGAAGATCGTTCTCCTTTTCAAACTGGGTCATCATATTTAAGCTTCACAAAACCAGAGACCACAAAATGAAGTACAAAACGCAGCATTTACATACGATCACAAGAAAAAAACCTATGAAGACAGGAACAGGTATTATATTTACTGTTGCAGAGTGATTTTTATTCAGCTTTTTTTCTTGTCTTTACTCTTAAAGGAAACTTTGATTCATGAGTGTAGGACATCCCAACAGAGATTGAATGAAGATATCCCAGCCAAGGCCCCTTCTCGTGAATGTATTTGCAAAAGATGGTTGGTCAGGGAAGGCTCTCCTGCACAGGAAGGGCCTCGAAAAGGGAAGAAGAAGAGCAATAAAGTGAGCCATTAGCAGACATGTTGGCCCCTTCCCGTGACATTATTTCCTCAACTTGGTTGAAAAAAGAGATTTTTTTATGTATAAGAACGGTACAGTGCATGTTCTTTGGTATCTTTTATCTACCATGGATTGACTTAATGGTCAATAGTTTACATCCTAGTCAGTGCCTCATCCATATGAATTAAATATTTCATACGTTATTTTCACATAACTTTTCATTTCAGAAGCCAACAAATACGTAGAAAAGTCCAGAAGAGGAAACAAAGCCATGGAAAATTAGTTTAATTCACAATTTGGTTGGCCTGAAAACTTTGAATTAAATACGAAAGAAAGAGAAGTCAGCAACCGACTGTAGCTTTTGGATTATTGGAAGGGCAGGTTGGACAAGTGTAAACAGGGTGGAGAAGACCAAAAACATTTGATGGGTCACGAGGATGAATCATGATTTAGGTGAAAAGGGGTCGAGAAAGCTTTATTGAATTAGATTTTTGAGTTTCCATTGAAGGGAGCAAATAGAAAGCTTCAAAAGCTGTAAGCCGAGCCTTTCACATGCTTTGCTTCCTTCGCTTGAGAGTGTGAAAAGAAACAGGGACCAGTCTGGCCATTAATGCAGAGCTCCCCCCATCTCAAATCTTCCTTCCATTGAACCTTCTGAGAGTATTGGGAAAACAGAGCAATACTCTGTTTCAGACCTTGTTTTTTTTTTGCTTATACGAGAAGAAAAATGTGAGTTTCTTCATTTTTTGTTCATTTCTGCATATGGGTTTGGCTTCTTTTATCTTGTCTCCTCATGTATTACTGAAGATTTGACACCCATTGATGAAATCTTGTAGAGCATTGATTTCTTATTACTCTTTTTGATTGTTCTTTACAGTGCTAAAGCTCTGAAAGTTGTGGTGTTTCTTTGCTTCTTATAATGGGTGTCTGCTTAAGTACCAGAATCAAAGCTGAAAACTCATGTAATACAGGTACTAGAACGCTTCCTTCTTGTCTAGTTGATGTTTGAAGAGTTTTAAATTTATCTTGTGAACATTGAGAAACGGATCATATGATATGCAAGAATATCTGCTTTTATTGAATTCCCAGCAACATGATCTTTGCTTGAACTGAAAATATAAACGAATGAGCTTTGCAAATGCTCATATGAGGGTCTTGATTCGATTATACAATTGCTAGTTTGTTAGAGGTCATGCATTGAATTGTGCAGGGGTGAACTCTAATGCTGTGAGTACTGATGGAAACGATATCGGTAGTAGTATAACGAGCAAGATATCGTTATCGTCGATGCCACTGACTCCACGAACCGAAGGCGAAATCTTGCAGTCGTCCAATTTGAAGAGCTTCAGCTTCGCCGAGCTTAAGGTAGCGACGAGGAACTTTCGACCGGATAGTGTGGTTGGAGAAGGAGGTTTTGGTTCAGTTTTCAAAGGTTGGATTGATGAGCATTCCTTTACTGCTGCCAAGCCTGGCACAGGAATGGTTATTGCAGTCAAAAGGCTTAACCATGATGGTTTTCAAGGTCATAGAGAGTGGTTGGTGAGTTATTCTCCTCCAAACCACAAGCAGAGATGGCTCATTCTAGCATATATCTTTTGGTCAGTTTATGCTGTGAAGATCTCGACTTATCGACTTATCGACTTATCTCGTGTTTTCTTTCTTCGTATAGGCCGAAGTGAATTTTCTAGGCCAACTTTCTCATTGTCACCTTGTGAGGTTGGTCGGCTACTGCTTGGAAGACGAGCATCGTTTGCTCGTTTACGAATTCATGCCTCGAGGGAGCTTGGAAAATCATTTGTTTCGAAGTGAGTTTTTCGCATTAGATACCCTTTGATTCTCATTAGAACTTCATGACAATTGCCTAATGTTGCAGGGGGATCCTATTTTCAACCTCTTTCATGGAGCCTGCGCTTGAAGGTTGCACTTGGTGCTGCAAAAGGGCTTGCCTTTCTCCACGGTGATGACCGAAAAGTGATCTACCGCGACTTTAAGACATCGAACATCTTGCTCGACTCGGTAAGTAATCGACATAAACAAGCCTTTTCTGGTCTGTCATATGAATGTCAAGCAAGTAGAAGATAGCCTTAATAAGCTTCATTTTCTTCTGCATTTAGAAATACAATGCCAAACTCTCTGATTTTGGGTTGGCTAAAGACGGGCCAACCGGCGATAAAAGCCACGTCTCGACTCGGGTGATGGGTACGTATGGATATGCAGCCCCGGAGTATCTGGCCACAGGTAATATTCTATAGAAATAGAAACTCTTGCTGTCATAATGTTGACATTAATTTGCTCGTTTTGCATACCCTAATCATCACTTTGCTCTTGTTGTAGGTCATCTAACTACTTGGAGTGATGTCTATAGCTTCGGAGTTGTCCTACTAGAAATACTATCTGGAAGAAGAGCAATAGACAAGAATCGACCGGCTAGAGAACACAACCTTGTGGAATGGGCAAAACCTTACCTTGCAAACAAACGTAAAATTTTTCGAATAATCGACAGTCGTCTCGAGGGCCAATATTCATTGGATGGAGCCTACAAAGCATCTACCCTAGCTCTACGATGCCTATCCATTCAACCCAAACTTAGACCAAACATGAATGATATTGTAAAAGAACTCGAGCATCTACAAGATTCCACACTCCCTACCAGCAACAGGAACTCAACCAATAATCGTCGTGCTCGTAGGCATAGCGCCGATGATTCCCATAAGCCAAATAGCGTTCAAGCATACCCCCGACCTTCTGTTTCAACACTCCACACATAAGATGATGATCACGCAACTAGATTGAGACAGTTTGTAGCAAAATCGAGGAATTTAGTAAATGCATTCTAATCTATAGGAATTGTACAGTTTTTATAGTCATTCCTTTACGGTGATTCTTGGATTGATTTGTAATTCATTTCAAATTCTAATTATTTGAGTATGATTTCTAGAGAACGCTACTAAATCTAAATAAAAAAACAAAAGTCGTTTTAAATTCCGGTCGTTTAAGCAATAATGAAATCTATCTCAATTAATAACTTAGGTTATATAACATGTCACATTCATTATGATATTAATGTGGGTGATAAGCACAAAAATGGGGTAAGAGCTTATACTATTTTGAGGCCAACATTAATATTCATTAGATTTTTGAACATATTATAACCACAAATAATTTATAAGGTTGGATATTTTGATTCCTTATGTGTGATAAGCTAGAACAATAGGACAAAACAACCATTAAATTTTATTTTAATATTTGATATTTGACCAAAAAATAGACATCCACTATACCAAATGGGTGGACATAATTTATTTTTATTTTATAATCTATAATTAATTATTAAATAAATTGATGTGATTTTGCTATTTTTGGAATCTACCCCTTACTGAAATGACATAATAAGAATGTGTATCACAAATAATTTAGATTAAAGTATTTGCTTTTTATAAATAAGTGATATGACATCAACTTTAAAATGTCACATCAATCAGCATGTGGATATATATATAATATAATATATAGTTTGAATTTCAATTTTATATTTATTTAATTTTATATGAAAGGGATTTTAAATTTTGTATTTACTTAATTTGGAAAGTAATTAAATTTATATGGTTAAATTAATAAAAATGTCATTCAACTTTATAATATCTTGAAACTATTAACACTTTAATTCAAATTTTTAAAAAACATTCTAAAAATAATAATTATTAAAAGTATTCATGCTAATAAGTTTTTAAAAGTAATACTAAAAAATTTGAAAATAATTTATAAAGTGCAGTCCATAAACAGTTTTCGTCCATATTGTTGATAGTAAGAATTTTTTAAAATTTCTATCTATAAAGATAAATTAAATAGGGTTAATGTTACTTTTTAAAATTCAATAAATATTTTTTTAAACTTGGTGTCACAGGAATACTTTTTTATAGGTATATTTGAGTCATCGGCTCACCGTAGGCTCCTAGTGACCCACATGGACTAGATGGTTAGAGGTATTACCCGGAGCCTTTTATTCATCTGGTCCATGTGGGTCTTATTGGGTTTTATATTAATGGTGAGCCAATGACTCAAATAAGAAATTGTGAAAATAAGAAATTAAAAAAAAAATCATGGCAAGATATTTAAAGAATTCATAGCTCACATTAAATTTATTGCCTTCACCGACAATCATATCCTTAACTCTCTCCACCTACTTGCTTCACCTAGAAGTTCTCTAGACATCAATATGACTTACATCAACTCGAAATATAAGGGTTGAGATGGATTTTTGCTAAGATTCAATCTAGTTCAAGTTGGGTACGGGTTCAGTGTGTAAAGGATCATGTCAACCCGACCCAACTAGATTACATAAAAATAAACGAAGAGAATGAGTTGGGCCCAAGCTCAAGCCCAACCCACGTTTAGTATACCATCATTAGATCCCACATCGTATGTGTACTCCTCGCACGACGCATACCTCAGTCCTCTGCGAGTGCATAAAAATTCAGTTGACATTAGTACATCTTTCAAGTTCCTACTCAAGTACCTTCCTCACTAGTCGCTACTCAGTACAGCACAATACAATCCTCGCATAATACAGTCGATGACTCCACTCCTGCATCCTCCTAGCATAGTCGCTCTCTTCGGTTAACGCCTCTTCCTCGCTAGTTGCAACTCAGTTGTTCTTCATTCCTTCCTTCCACAGTCACTCTCTTTGGAGTTCGTGAGAATATAATCACATAAAAGGCAAGAAATTTGAATGAATGTAACAATGAAGTGATTTTTAGAGGTATGGCAAAAACAGAGAAAATGGAGGGCTGTTATGCAATTACCAAAGAATAAGCAAAGCTTGTCACCAAGTTCTCACCAATCCAGGTGTCCAATTTCTCCAATCTAACTTCCCAAAAGATTTGTTTCTCAAGCTCACCATATCTTTAAAATCAAAAACTTTCCTTAGATGACTATTTCTATGCCTTGTACTACTACTACTACTACTAGTAGCAGCAGCCTCGACTTCGGCCTCCGCAACAGTTTCTTCCTTCGTTTCGACGATGTTGTCACTCGGTTGAGGAACTGTTTCATCTTGACATGATTCACTGATGATGTTTCCAAGAATGTCGACAACCTCACTCATTTTTGGGCGATTTTTAGGCTGCTTCATCAGGCATTTGTTAGCCAGTGATGCAAGTTTCTGTGCTGACTTAATGTCACATTCTCCTTCGAGCCGTGGATCGATAATAAGATGGAACTTCTTAGGGTCAGACACATATGGTTTAACCCATTCCAAAAGCTTCTGCTCATTGCGTGGTAGGTTTCTCTCCACGGCTCGTCTTCCTGTAATGAGTTCGTAGAGAACAACTCCGAAGCTCCACACGTCGCTCTTTGCAGTCAACCTGCCAGTTTGGACATACTCTGGAGCAGCATAGCCTACTGTACCCACAACCTTGAAAGACAAATACATTGTTATCAGAAGGAAACATCTTCTGGGTTTAAGAGGAAATAGCTTTAAAGCAATATTGTAAGATATGCCTAAGAGTGCAGCAAGAATATGATTAGTTGATCTTGTGAGATATGCCTAAGAGTGCAGCAAGAATATGATTAGTTGATCTTGCAAAATAACCTACTAAAAGGGATAACTATATATGGGATCCCACGTTGGTTGGGGAGTAGAACGAAACACTTTTTATAAGGATGTAGAAATCTCTCCCTAACAGACATGTTTTAAAAACTTCGAGGGAAAGCCCGAAAGAAAAAACCCAAAGAGGACAATATCTACTTGCGGTAGGCTTGAGCCGTTACAAATGGTATCAGAGTCAAACACCGGGCGGTGTGCCAGCAAGGATGGTGAGCCTTGAAGGGGGGTGGACACCAGGTAGTGACCAGCTAGTGTGCCAACAAGGACGCTGGGCCCCGAAAAGTGTGGATTGTGAGATCTCACATAGATTGGGGAGGAGAATGAAGCATTTTTTTTTTATAAGGATGTGAAAACCTCTCCCTAACATACGTGTTTGAAAAACTTTGAGGGAAAGCCCAAAGAGGACAATATCTACTAGCGGTGGGCTTGGACCGTTAAAAATGGTATCAGAGCCAGACACTGAGCAGCGTGTCAACGAGAACACTGAGCCCTAAAGAGGGTGGACACCAAGCAGTGTGCTAGCGAGGATGCTGGGCCATGAAGGGGGGTGGAATGTGAGATCGCACATCAGATGTGGAAACCTCTCCCTAGTAGACGCGTTTTAAAAACTTTGAGGGAAAGTACAAAACGAAAATCCCAAAAAAAGACAATATCAGCTAGTAGTACACTTGGGTCAACCAGTTTCCAAGAACAGCACTAATTAAGAACTTCATTGAGACGTAATTCGCAGTGTTCTTGAAGATTGTGAAAAATGATTTTAGTATTTCTCAGTATTTCCAAAAGTTATAATAAGTTCAGTTGCAAGAACCAGGATAAGAAGGTTAAACATACCGATGTTGACACATGACTGATTCCTTCCGGAGGACCCTGTCTGGCAAGTCCAAAATCCGAAAGCTTCGCATTAAATTCTTCATCTAGCAGGATATTTGATGCTTTTAAGTCGCGGAAAATTAGCTGCATCGAACAAAAGTAGATCCAAATCACTTAAATACAACGAAAGCCATAAGCAACTATCAAACACATGCTCTCCCACAAGACACAAAATCTGTATTTACTTCACATGGCAGGTCAAGATAAAATCTGAAACGTCATGGTAACAGTAGATTGTCTATTTCAGGGAACAGGCAGAACATGATTTTGTACCTGAAAATCCATTTCTTCATGTAGATATGCAAGACCACGAGCTGCATCCTGAGCAATTTTAAGCCTGGCCAACCATGACAGTGGTGAAGATACTCGAACCAATAGATGATCCTCCAAGCTCCTCTTGCGCATAAGCTCATAAACCAAAAGCCTTTGCATTCCCCTTTCATCATCTTCGGCACAGTATCCAACTAATTTCACAAGATTTGGATGCTTCACCACACCTAAAAAGTTCACCTCGTTGATCCACTCTTTGTGCCCCTGAGTACTAGAATTTGTTTGAAAATTCGATCAGATTTGACTCGAAGGCACTTGTAAAACCATGAACAAGTATAATCCGGTTGAATCATTCCCAATTTGGGGGGTTTTAATGGAAAATTATACAGGATTGTCACAGTGATCGAACATCAGGACAAATCAAATAAAACAAAACCACCGAATATTCAAAACAAAAAGTAATACAACTTCGAACATTGCGTTTCAAGAATTTACAAGATTGAGGGGAAGCAATCAAGTTCAAGATACTAAACACCAGAGAATCCGAAGTTGTGATCATTCAATAACATTCATGAACGCTAAGAAGAAGAAAAAGAAATAGAAGGCCATGCCTGGAAGCCGTTGCGATTGAGCTGTTTAACAGCAACTTCCATTTTCAAATCAGACTTGGAATTGGAGCCACCATTATCATCACCAGAAGCCCTAACAACTCCTTTAAACACACAACCAAAACCTCCTTCCCCAATCAACAATGCCCTACTAAACCCTCGCGTGGCTGATCTCAACTCGGAAAAGGAAAAAACGCGCAGATCATTCCCTCTCCGGTGAGTCAAAAACTCATCGAACCCAATCGAGTCGGAAACATCCCTAGAAAAGTCAGAATCGAACTCGGACCGCCTGGTATCAAAAGTGCTAGAAGCCATACTTAGCGAACGAGCCCAGGAGACCTTGGAGACTCTAGAAACGACGGCGTCTTCATCATCCCTTCTCTCGCCATTGGTGAAGTGGAAGCACTTCATTGCTTCAAAACAAGTTGCAGAATCGGAATGTTGGAAGAGAAAAAAGGGTAGAGGAAGAAGACGATCAAGTCAAATGAGAGGGGAGAAGAAGAAATGAAAACCAAGTGGGATTGGTTGAGCGTTTACATTTGAAAAATGGAAGAGCGTTAGGTAATGGAGCAAAGAAAACAAAGACCCATTTCCTTTTGGCCCATAGTTGTTATAGAGAGAGAAAGAGAGAGTCAGAGGATCACGAGGGGTTGCACACCGAGACGCAGACGCTGAAGTCCAAAACTGGATCATGTAGCTCACTTGGAAGGAGGGGTCCCTACCGTTGGTTAAGGGTATCACTTGGAAATTAGGATTTCATTAGGGGTAATAATGTAATTTAATCCCTTCGTCCGCATCACGATCATGCTTGTCCAGGGCGTGTTGCCTATGGCCGCATACCCACCATTAGTTAAGGGTCTCACTTGGAAATTAGGATTTCATAAGAGGTAGCAATGTAATTTAACCCCTTCTTCTGCACCGTGTCATAGTCATGCTTGTTCAGGGCGTGTTGCCCATGGCCACATGGCAACACGCCCATGACACCTAAACCCTTTTTTTGCTTTCACGTTGTATTGTATCTTTTACTTTCACCTAAACCCCTTTAAGAGATGAGACTAGTCGTCAATTCTTCTCACATGCAGTTATATGTTATCTAAACCGTTTTGTCTACCGTTTACTAAAACTTTCTTCTCAAAACGAAGCCATTGAGCATACGTCACCAAGCCGTAGACAACAACAGTTTTGAATTGGTTTGACTCACTCAGTGTCAAAAGTGAGTGCTGCACAATTGTCAGTCCACTCCTAATAAAAGAGCGAATGTGACACATCGCCGACATGCCACTGGAGGCTGCGCTCGCATCATATTTCAATTTTGAAAAAAAAAAAGTTTTAATCCTTATTTTTTATAGTCATAATTAAAAAACATTGGTTGAACATTAATTAATTTGGGGGTTCATAATGAAGGGAGATGGAGATGATACGCCTTTTCCGTCTCTTACAAGCAACGTCTATTACCTTACCTTCACCCCATCAACGTCATTCATTATAAATAAACCCCACAATTGTCTCCCTTTCATATTGCTTTTCTATAATTTATGAGCCGAGTTGTTTGTTCAATCATTTCTTGGGCCTTAATACCCGGCCCAGTTTGGAATGCCCGGCCCATTTGGACTCTATTCTTGTTACCCGGCCCAGTCTAAGCCCAACCCAATTTAACTTATGGCTTCCCAATCGTTTTGATATTCAAATCCTTACTATGACTTATCTGTTTAAATATCTAATTTTAGTCCGTATATTTTAAATTAGTCTTAAAATAAGCTTCTTGTCAAAATATTTGGAAATAATGAAACTAACATTTTAAAATAAAGTAATAATAACAAAGTCTATTCCTCACAAAATTAATTTCTAAATATAAATATTTAGTAAAATCTCGAATAGCCGTCTTAGCTCAGCTGGTAGAGCGCATGGCTTTTAACCATGTGGTCGTGGGTTCGATTCCCACAGACGGCGATTTCTGTTTCATACAAAAGCTTGCCAAATGCTTTTAAGAGAAAATTTATTTTTATAATCATTTATTTTTCAACGTTGAAGCAGTAATACAATTAATTTAAAATTTACAATAATTAAAACAAACGGAAAATAAAATACAGAAATACATATAATTGGAAATAACTCTGTAACACTCATATTGTGTCTGTAAAAGAAGACTGCGGGCCGTAATCTTCATTCAGCCGCTTCAGCCATGTACGGTCACACAACCAGAAAACCGAACAAACCCCCTGTCTAAATATTCTTCCAATAATACCCCCAACCCTTGCTCTAAATTACGCTCAGATCAGATTAGTTTTATAGCCAGACATTCAGACAACCACGACCCTACTACACTCCTCCCCGTTACCAACGGCACCTAAAAGTCGACGCCACAAAGGTTAAAAATGTAAATTAATAAAAACAGTTACTCGCGGTTAAACGCGGAAGTTTTTTCCGGTGAAAGTCTGACCGAACTGCCAATTGGCGGGCACGATGTTCCAAGACGTTGAGGTTCGCCGGTCACTGCCGGTCACTCTAAACGACAAAGCCTGGCCCACCAACACGGCGTTGGATTGCCAGTTTTGCCCCCAGTTTCTCGTCATGCTCATCCACTCAGTTTTTGATCCTTTAACGCTAGCCCGCACGATATCCCCTGCACCCGCGACGTTGGTGATTAAAACCAGGTTGAAGTAACGGAAACCGTTGATCGTGAACCTGATTCCTCCCTGCTTCCGGCATGGCACTCTGCGTAATTAAATACAACATTAGAGGGCAAATTCAAACTGGTAAAATTACATAAATAGAATATGCTTATTTCCCGTTCAAATCCTACCAACTTACCGGCGGTAGGCGACGGGGACAATTCCGGCACGGTATTCGGCGATTTTAAGGAACATGGGCATGGCGAGGTCGAAGTGGCTCCGAGGAGGGTTACACCAGCCGCCATTGTCGTTGGGAAGAGCATAATTCGGCGGGCAGAAATTGGTAGCAGTAACCAAGATCGAGGGGCTGCCGGAATGGCACCATTTTGGGTCATTAGCACACTTAATTTCAAAGCAAGCGCCGCAGCTCTGCCCATTGTTGAACAGAGCCGTACTTAGCGCCGCCGTGTTGACTCCATACCCTTGGCTGTACAAATTCCCATACCCACAAGCTCCGCCTGAAAAAAACAGACCATAAATTAGTGTTGAACAGTGATTTAACAACAACCCACATCGGAAATAACTGAAAATGTAGCGAGCATATTAGAACATACCCATGGTGCCGGAAGCGTCAGAACCGCCGTAGAAGGTGGCATGAGCATTCTGCCAGGCGCCGCCGGTGTAAACGCCGGGGATTCTAGCGTCGACCACAAGGAAAAATGGGAGAAGAGATGCAATGCAGAGAGAAATAATGGCGGCCATTGTTTTTCTGCGAAAAAGGTGAAGCCTTGCAGAAAAGAAACAGAGGAAATGGAGATGTCGGGACAAGGACAGGGATGGTGGAGTACTTATGGAGGAGGAGGACTGCCACCGTGGAAAATGAATTTAGGGAAATAATTTTTTATTTTTAAGTATATTAAAGGATAAATATTCTTGATAAGGAAATTGAGTACGATCTCGTACGAAAAAAAGAATTTTTATTTTTGGTTTATTAGAATTAAAGAAAAATAATTATTATATGCTATAAGCTTTGCGTGAATCGGAATCAGAGGCGTGATGAGCGGCTGTGATTGGATTTTAATTTTTAATCTAAGAATTTTTTTTTTTAAAAAAAAGGCTTTTTTACTGGGTGCGGGGTCCAGGTGGATCTGGATTTTATAAGCCACCGAGAATCCGACGTGGACTGAGGTGGACCCCGCAGATCTCCGCAATCGACGCTGCATTTACTTTTCGTACGCATTGTTTGAAGTTTGACCGGCTCGGTGGACATGAGCGCTTGGCAGTTTTTTTTACTTTTTTACCGTTTACTGTTTGTTTTTGTTGTGAACTTTAAGGAGAAAAAATTAAATGCCGGTTGAAATATAATTTTTGTTTGCTTTTTATTTGGAGCTGAATAGATGGATTTATTTTTTTATTTTTTATTTTAAAAAGAGCAAGGGTTGAATGGTCAATAGCCTCTTCTGGTCAGATCTCATATTAATTTCAAAGGTTTCATATTGACTTTTAAGGCTATACATGTGCCCTCTTTGAATTTTGTAATTTTCTAAATATTTTTTATTTTTTAAAAAATAAAACATTTCATATTCGATAATATTAAGGAAAAAACGTAATAAACAATTTGACAAATATAATTTCAAAAAATTAAATGTAATAACCACATAAATTTATATATATATATTTATTTATTTACCCAAATAGAGTCTTTTGGGTTAAATTGAAGGGTTTTGACCGTCAGTCAATGCGGTTGAAATTTTTTAAAAAGTGCAATTTGGCGGCACCGCCAAGCGCGTGATTACACGACAGGGTAGCGCGGTTGTGGGGTTTCCAATAATTTAAAGCGAGTTCTCAGTTGTCTTCACATGGTTGCTGTTTTCGCACCGGCGGGGAAGGAAAACTCAAATAAGGGAAGTGCAAACATAATTGGCAATTTTAATTTTAAGTTAGAAAAAAAAAAAATATATATATATATATATATATATATATATTAAATTAATGCTAGGTTTATGACTTTCTTAATTTCTAATTTATTATGAGAATTATATGATTTAAAATTTTAACAAATTAAAATTATATATATATATATATATATATAATTGTCGACCTTACTCCACCCTTCCTCAACGATTCTAAATTTTTTTTAATTATTTATAAAATATATTGTGAGATTCAACGTTCAGAAGGTGGAATAAAACATTCTTTACAAATAAATAAATAAATAAATATAAATATATATATATATATAAAATTGTCCAACCATTCTAAATTTTTTTAATTATTTATAAAATATACTGTAAGATCGAGATCGAGAGTGGAACAAAACATTATTTATAATATATATATATATATAATTGTCAACATTTCTCCATTGACAGTGAAACAAAACATTTTTTACAAATCATTTTTTACAAATGTATATATAATTGTCAACCTTTCTCCACTTTTCCTATAGAGTTCTAAAATTTTTAAATTATTTATAAAATATATTGTGAGATCTCACATCGACGGGAGAGTGGAACAAAATATTCTTTACAAGAGCGGAAACTTCTCCCTAATATTCTTTACACAAGTGGAAACTTCTTCCTGTGAGACGCATTTTAAAATATTGAGAGGAAACTCGGAAGGAAGAGTCGAAAGAGAACAATATCTGCTAATAGTAGACTTGAGCTATTAGATATATAATATTTTTCCGTACTCCATTTTGGTTCTCAATCAATCATTCATATAGACGAACGTTATGAGTGGAACAGGAACGGACGTGAAGATGTGGAGTCGGTGGGAGCAAATGCATGCGAAACTCGTACGACAAGTGGATAATGATTAGCATTAATTAGAAGTTTGTGATATAAGGGTATAAAGCATGTGAGGGGTAATGATAGCATGTTGATCTAAAATGGTAAGATATTGGAAAGTCAAAAGGAAAGAAATGATATTTAATAGAGCGTTACGTATGAATAAGGTAGATGATTTGGAGAGTAGCCATATGGGGCACATGGTGGTTGGACAGGGTTACTTTGGTCATTAAATAAATAAGA